TAGCCGGATGCAAAGCTTATCGATGTCCATCAGGACTTCTGCAACTTTTTAAGCCGCGTCAACGTCATTGTTTTCCCGATGAAAGTGACGTAACGTTATCATTCCCGTCACTGTCGCAGCTCGTAATGCGATTGCGGTCCAAATGATCCCAACTAGATATGTTTAGGTTTGTTTAGCCACAGCATGAAGGCGTCCCGCGTGCGTGTGCTTCAGTGTAAATACACACGTTGGCGTGTTATTCAACATGGCTGCACCCAATGAGTTCCTGGCATTGTGGGTTTTCTCTGCGTCTCGTTAGCTTAGCGTGTTGAATCAGCTGAGATTAAAAATGTGGGCAATGTAGTTTTTTCCGTAATAGAGAGGCTGGCAAGTCTGGCTCGAGTAGTTAACGGTTTCATTTTGGTGAGCAGATGTTGAACCTTTTCTGGTTTAATTCGCTCAGAAATCCTATCCTGGGGAAATAGCACTTGTGTAACTTTTCTTTATTTCAATGCCTTGGTAGACTTTTCTGTGGATGTCCTAAGTTTCACCTTAAGTCCTCTTGTGATTGTTGCCAGTGCGGAGGATTTTGTGTAAGCAGCTCTGCAAATTTAGAGATTTGGCCGGTGCCTTCGGGGACTCTCCTGGCTTTCTGTTACTAAAACCCTTCTGACTTCATGGACTTTGCTCGATAATTCTGGCCCGGCACACACGTTGGGTCAACCAACTCCCACGTTATTAAATGGTGGTGATAGAATGAATGACATGGTGTGTTCAAAATACATGGATATCGGCTTGAAAACTCCACCATTAGGTATTTTCCCTCTTGTTTGAGGATTTGTCCACCATTAAACACAGATGGCGTCGGACAGAAACTAGCATCAGTGAACACATGGCAAGATGTGTTGGTTTCTCATGGCCCTTGTTTCCGATGTGTGTGTGTGTGTGGATTGAAGCCGTAAGTGTAAAAGTGTTCACTGTTGACATTCCTCTGGTGTCAAAACAGCGGATTTGCCGGATCCCTCCACAAAGTAATGGACACCAGGCCGCGTGGAGACCATGGCGCCTTTCACGGCAACGGTCCTCGGTTCTGTACGTGCAGCGGCGGCGGTGATTCGATACACAATGCAATTAGAGGGAGAGACTGACGGGGCTGGGATGTGATTAACTGCAAACACCACGACCGCTTTGTCAGACAAATGGACAATCGGGGTAAAACGCTTTAAAATGAAGTATTTGTTATAATTATCTTTAAAAAAAAACACCAGAGGGCGAGGATAGATTGCAACATGCGATGTGTGCTCGGGGGTCGTGTGTCGTTTTTCCGCTGTGATGCCTCCACAGTCAGCTGTGCTGGGAAGGGAGGAGTGCTGTGTTGTCCTTGTGTAACCATTGGAGCGCTCCAGCACTCGACAAACAGCTGAGACCCGAGTCCCATTGACGTAACTCGGAGCTGCTAATGGTTTGTTGAATTAGGGGATGTTCTTTTCAACGCTTCAGGCTTAATGGAAGCTTATTATTTTAAAATGGCTTTTTTCGGATGGCAGACAAAGTTTCTTGGCGAGTCCAATCTAAAAGGCACGCAAAGAAAAATGATTGTTTCGAAGAACAGATTGTGAATTTGAGAGCCACAATGGTTTGATTTGGTTTCCTGCATTGAAAAGTGTTCAGCAAATCCGTTTTAGTGTTTGAGAATAGCGTTAACTAATGCATTCGTCCCATCTGCATCATTCCCAGTTGACTAAATAAACCGCAGTAGTGGGGGGGTGAATATTAGAGCAGCTCAATCAAAGCGATGAGCAGATTTGTACAGTCATTTCTGTAACTCATCCCACAGCAAAGGCGTTGGGATTGTGTCATTCGTACTTGGCTCTCACGCAAAATTATTGACTTCCCTGCTCTCAATCCCGCCCACAAAGCTAATTTTTTTTCAGTTTTTTTTTTTTCTGTCCATAAAACACTCAACCTTCTCCCCCCCCCCCCCCCCCCCCACCATGGGGGGGCTTGGGGGCCGGCTTCCCTCGGGGGGGGTTTACCCCAAAAACAGGGGCCGGGGGGGGTTTTTGCTTCCGGGAAAGGTTTATTGTTTTCCCCGGGCCCCCCAAACAAAACGTAACAAGAGATGCCACAAAAAGATTTGGGCTTTTCTTTTTTTTCTTTCCAAAAATTTTAAGGGGGAAAGAAAAAAAAAAAAAAAATGTCACTGGGCCTCTTTGTATGACTCTTCTCTCACCTTCTACACTGATGAATCAATTACTGAAAGATTTGCACGTTTAATAACGCACCGTTTGAATGTGCCTGTGTTTAGTAAAGGAGGAGAATGCATTTCATTCCTTGAAATCAGAAGTTTCATCCGGCAGGTTTCGGGCGCAGCTGAAATGGAATTCATATAAATGTATTGATCGTGCTAATGCTAGCTGCACGGGGCTCGCTGTGTGGTTTCGGGCCCTTGTTGCAGAGACTCTTAAGAAGCTGCACAACAAAGGCTCATGCGTCACTTGGCCTGACAGCATCCGCCCACCTCGGGGAAGACGCACAGCACAGGTTGTTTTCTTTGTGAATGTTTAGAGACCTGTCTCACATCCTGTGAGTTCACAAATCAATAAGTGAAGCATATGCCGGCATTTACTGTATGATCAATAGAATCCAAAGTCTCCTAAATCTGCTTACTATGTTTTCTTTTTTGTATCTGACTTATTAATTGGCCTCTTTTTTTTTTTTTTTAAAGACCTCACCTTTTTGGGATTTGGGATCTATGGAAAGAGTTTGCTTTCATAGAGCAAAACGCTCACAGTAATGGGGAGGGATCATTTCAGGCAACCTACGACTTTTTTTTTTTTTTAGCAGTTCCACCTCAAAGCTGATTGCTATCTGAGCCGAATGTCAGATGCAAACACTTCAGGATAACCAAATATTTATTTCCGTCAGCAAATGCAGAGCGGCTTGTTTTATTGTGAGCCAAGGCTGCAACGCCCCAATCACACTTCATCCATGTCACTTAATCTGTTAATAGCTTTCTTCTTTTTTTTTGTTTTGTTTATCCTACAAGATTCTGTCTAACATCTGTTGGAGTTTGGGCTAGTGGCAGCCAACAAGTATTTGGATTTTCCTACCAAATAAACTACTAATGCAACCAAACCCCAAAAAACGACTAATGGATTAAATTACTCTTTCCTTCCACAACGGTTATTTCATTTTAAAGTTGGTTAAATTCAGTCCACATCTGGGTTTATGGGTAGCTGCCGTAATGTCCACAGTCCTCATCATTTACTCACAGCATCTGGCCGCACGCCAAGCGCATCACTGTGAGCATCGGCCGCCCTTCAAGATGACCGTAACTTTAAACAAAAATCATCGTAGCACTTGAAGCGGCGTTCCGGCCACGTTTGTTTAGCATCTTAGTCGTTTCCCCCTCGGTGACGCTCTGCATCTGCTGAGGTCACCCTTCTACGGGAGACACAGTCGCCTTTTGGGACGCGTCTTGTTTCTTTCCTTTTGCGGGTGAAGTATTGATTTAAATGGAGGCTCCACAGTGGGGAGATTATAACTGGCTTGGAGTGTTTCTTTCATTTCCGTGACGGCGTTATGAAAACTCACTCCGTGTAAGTGCAGTGTTGGCCGGCAATGGCCGTCTGTTTTCTAAAAGTCTTGGTTTTCCTTCTCTTAATGTTGTGTCTGAGAAGAGAAGGCGGATAGTCACATGTTGTCGGTGCGATCGGGTGCTGAGCGTTCGCTGTACGCACGTTTAGCGTGGAAACGGACGACCCTGTTGAGTCAGCGGTCCGTCTGTCTGCGTGGCTCCATAAGCTGCGGCCCTGCACCGGTTTACTGGAGAATCATGTGTTTAATGCTGGTGATGAATCACCAGAGGCCACAGTGACAGGTTGATGACTGGTTTGAGAAGTTTTGTTTCGAGACGTTTTTGGATTTTCGTTTTTTTTTTTTTGTGCTTTGAAATGTGGTGTTTGTTGGAGAAGTCATAACGATGCGTTTCACACCCAGGTATAACTTCTCAGTACTGCGTGCACTGCAGAACAAGCTTTTTCTACCATTCATTCTGAAATATAAGCATTAGCAGATGGAAGTTAACAGGAGTTTGCTTTTCTTATAATATCATGCCGTCATTATTGAGGCTAGAATTAATGCCTGAACTGTAAAACATACAAATGCACAGAAATTCTACCAAAAATATACATATAAATGGAAAGAATTACTGAATATCTTCTGAAACATTACAGCTTTCATTCAGGCCCGTGTGAGGTTCGCAGCTTAGAAATGGTCGAGGGATCAAGTGCACTTTCCTACCGACATTGAGGCTTAAGTGCTATTTATTTGTAAACTAATGTGTCAAATTTTCTTTTATTAAAAATGCGTATTCATGCAAGCTATTTCGTACTTACACATTACACTCGATGTGCTCCCAGAAACGACACTGAGTCAAATCTGTGAGACGGGTTTCCAGATTCGCCCAAACGATGGCGGAACACAAGTCCTCCTCGGAGAGCGCACGTGTTCTCCGCATCAGCGGAGCGGCCGCAGCTCGGAGGACTTGCAGATGTGTTTGAGGGACTGCAGCCCTGACTGTACCCTGACCTCCCTTTCCATTCAGTCCAGCGTATCCGCTTAGGGAGCCGGTTGGAATTTTCACTTGGAAATGACTTTTTAAAAGCATCGGGTCTCTCCACAAGTGCCTGACTTTGTCAACAGGTGGGGAGCAATGTTTTAAAAGTTGCTGGATGCTGTTCTCACCACAAAGGGGGAAGTACGCAGCACGCCGACAGGACGGCTGTCAAAAGTGTGAAGGCCTTTTCAAGAAGTGAGATGCAGATGTCGGCGATAAGATACTTCATTAACGCCTACATTTCCGTTCACTCGGGCCGATGGGCACAGTCGGGTAACGGCGTCTGACAGAACGTCCAATAGGGATCCAGCACGGAGTGTGGAGGAGACCGTTTTTGAGTGATTTGGCGCCATTTGTTTTTTTCATGGATTAACTTTTCTCCTTCTCTGTCTCACTCTAGCTGCCTCCGAGGGGAGAGTCAACGGAGGGGAGGATTTCTTTCAGAAGGTGAGTGTGCAGTCGGCCCCCCCGGACTGGGGTCCGCCGCGTTTTTTAAGCTGCGCTCCTCTCGTGGTTCGTGGAGCAGATGTCAGGTGCTCCTCCGTTCACACGCAATCACCCATCAAAACAACACGACACGCCGACGACGACGTCGAGCCGCTGCGGGGCTCCGGTCCCGTAACACAGCTGACACAACACTGTGTGGGCCTTTCCTCGCTTACACAATGTACCACAAGACACCAGATCACCTGCTCGGGTTTCAAATCAGGGGGGGGGGACTCATCCAATAAAGGATTTGCGGCAATGGTTGTGGAGTCGTGTCTGATGCTCATTGATCAAGTGTGGAATCCGCTTCGGTGGTCATTTTTTGTTCATGTTTTATTTATTTTTTTTAAAGCTTATCCAACAGATACATTTATTTTGTTTATTAATAACGCTGTAATGCCCTTTTCTTTTGGTTAATAAAAGTAATCCTGAGCAGGGTTGGACATTTTAAACGAGATCTAACACTGATCACGATGTGCTTTTGATTTGTTTGCAATGCTCAAGACAACCAATCGCATCGTATAAAATAAGCTGTTTCCTAACTCTTATATTGCACAGATTGAGGAGTGTTTTTGTCTATTTGAATAGATTCTCTGTGTCGGATCGGCTGCAGGTTATTTTCAGGTTCTTAATCGCTGTAATACGACTGATAAAAAATGTTGCCTTGTTGCCAAACCGTAATCCTCACACCGTACCTTATTTCATAATTTGTTTAATCTGAACTGCAAGTATTTTGTCAAGTTTGCGGACTGTATCGAGATCAGTCGAGACCAATGACACCGCGCTGCATTTTGACACCTTATATCTCAATTATGTGGCGCACATTTATGGATTTGGTCTTGTTTGAGATTCTTTAAAGTGTTTAAACTCCCTCCTTAGTATGTTAATGGAATGTAATGAAATACATGATGGACATCTGTTTGTTTTGGAATTCTTCTTTTGCACTTTTTCCATATTTGGTTTTGCGAGTTAACTGGCCCTGAAAGCAAGTAACGCAAACCAGGCGCCTACTGATGCTCCTCTCAGGAATCTCAACAACTCTTAATGTGCTCTGAATCTGTCGCCGCCTCTTTTGCTTTGGATATAGCTGTAATCGCTATAAATACATCCAGTGTAGGTGCCTCCACGAAGCTATTCTGACTAAATCCAGCTGTCGGTGTATTGACTGCCGTCTGTTAAAAAAAAAAAAAAAGAAGAAATAATTGTCAGAGCTCGTTGACAGAAGCGCTGGTTACTCGCGGTTAAATTGTCGACTAGGTATTACCGGTAGTGTGCTGCTGTTTGGGTTGGCCGGCTGGCAAAGAGCAGCGAGGGAAGGAGTGCTAAAGTCATGTTTTTATTGTAGAATTTTTATTTGTGTAACGGCGTATAGTTTCCCTCTGATAGCGTGACCTCCATACTTGCCCAATTAAAATCAGAAAAAATAAACACCCGGTGCGACTGTGGAACGGGATTGTTGAACGAAAATGGATGAGGTGTGTGAAATACCTTGAAGTTGATGAAAATGGAAACTTTGAGTTGGGCTGCTTCCTTTTGCCCGTCCAACACACCCATCTAGCGCACATTCTCTCTCTCTCACACACACACTTTACTAATAAAATACATGCATAGCAACTCTCTCCCTCACGCGAGGACATTTTTTGACGCACACAGTTTAGCTTGTTAGCTTTGGGAATGAAATTTGGCTGCTGCCTCGGCAGCGAGATTTAGAGTTCCCGCCGCTGCCGACACGGAGCGGTCAACCCCGGCGCTTTCTGCCGGGGGTCGGAGGTCAGGGAACGAACCCGCTTACTCACCGTCTGCTGGACTTCCTCCGGAGCAACGTTTTGTAATGACCCTCTTCGTGTAGACGGGAGGGTGCCACAGCTGGGAAATGAGCCTCGTGCAAAAAGTCCCAGCAGCGCGCATCGGGGGGGGAGGGGGGGCGGGAATCTCGCCAGCTTTTGGTCCCTTGTCTCCTATTCCTCCCTTCTCCCTGTTATTATTCCATCATTATATTTCATTTGACCACTTGTGTGCTGTCGTAACACGCTTTTTATTTATTTTTTTTCTCTGCTTAAGCGTGCGTCAGTGAACAGTACAGTCACATGTTTTGGAGATGTAGTCGCACGGCACAGACCGCTAAGCCATTTTGGAGAGCTGTGCAGAAGCAAAGAGCCGAGAAGCTCGGCTTGTTGAGATGATAACTGCGCGCCACCGAGGAGCTTGGAGTGGATTTGAAAGCTGCTCGTGAACCCTTTTGCAAGTTCATCTCTGATCCCTCCTCCTCCTCTCCTTCCCAGGAGTTGTGGCTCTGTAAATAACGCCAGGCGTGATGTAGAAGTGCCAGTGCACTCAGATCCGAGGCCAGGCGTAATTTATTTAAGTCTTGTATTTTTCAGGGAAAATGGTCTATCTGAAGGGCGTAAAGAAGAAATATTCAGTCGCTATGAGTGCCACCAAAACGCAAAGGAACAAATGTTTGTGTCTTTCAAGCCGCGAACTCCCGACACATTTGAACGGCAGATGTTTTTTTTGCAGAAGAGCGCGTTTCTCTTCCGAAACGTCACGCGCGTTACCCCGAGGTGTAACGGGGCTTTAGCTGTGATTTGGCACTCGCGTTGTTAACGTGAGCTCCGTTATGAATGATGTGTCTCGTGGGTTCAGTCCACGCTGTTCCCTCTGTCTGTCTCTTTACATCCCTCTGTGTCCCCCTCCCAAGCGCGCACGCACACACACACACACACACAGTCACCCAGTCCAGCTGAATCAACAGCTGCACCATCGCAATGCGGGCCAGGAAACATGCCTCTGCCATGTTGATTGCTGCTGAGCTATAGCACCGTGCACACATCCAGACGTACACACACACACACACGTGCGGCCTTCCGCGACGTTGCCTCAGTGATATCCTGTTTGATTTGAAGCTACGGCTCTGCACACGGCTGCAAGCCTCTAAGGAGCTGCCATGTCAAGGATTCATTTATGTATTTATTCATTTCAGAGCGGGTGGAGTGGCAGAGAATGTGACTGAATGTACAGGTAACTTGATTTGTGCAAATGTCTCGACCCGTGCCAGAGGTATTTGAACCGCCCCTCCGCAAAAATAAACGCCCTCCACCCCTTTTTAAATGGTGTGCGGTCTGTCAGAAATCAGTCCCATCTGCTCTACACTGCCAAGAACAGCAACGCCGGACAGGAAACGGGTCCCTCTGAACAAGGCCCCCTTTAGAGAAGGAGTTGATGATGCCTAGGCCGTAACGTTTGATCATTTTTAGAGACGTGTAATTGGATTTGCTTCCGATACGGCGCTTTTGCGCGACACTGCGCGTTGCCACATTTTGTACGGGACTCCCGTTCACTCGTCTGTCAGACGCGTGTGTCATCGTTGCAAGAGACCAGGGCGAAAAAAAACTATGGGGGAAACGTAGAGGGAAGTAAAGGAGTTCCTTCATAAAGGAGAACGGAATGTCCTTTTGTTGTTGCGTCCAGCTGTTGGTGGGAGCATGTGACTTCTGTTGATGGAGGGAAAGTTTGCGTTTCGCTACAGGGTACTTGTGATTTGTCTTTTTATCAGACGAGGGAGGTGGGGGGGTGATATTGTAGATTAGAGCAACTTGGGCCTCCAGCTAACATGAAAGACCGAACTCATTAGATTATTGTTCCAGGCCTGAACTTCATACGGTTTTATGCCATTCTCGGTGAAATAAATGATGATGATGATATTATTGCGGCAGTAGGGATGAAAAGGTCTCCAGTAGGAGAACATTAATGTGGCATCATTAGCAAGCTGGAGCAATTTTCAGCTTAGTCGCAGAAGAATTCCAAACCAAAATAGTTGACAGTTGATTGCACAGAATAATTCTAAATCTCCTTTTGGTTCAATGATTCACTCAATAGAAGCTGGGAGTAAATCCAGAGTCACAAGCAGCGACTGTGAGCACATTTCTCTACATCATAACGATAATGGCCGAAGAGAAACAACTTTAGAGACAAGAGGAGGAATGCAGCAACTCCACAACTGTGTACAAATGTGTTTTGCAATGGTTTTATTGGCCTACAACAATTGGTTTTATGCCTTTTTTTCCCGAGGATTGCAGAATCTTGTTTTTCTAAAGAGAAGACACTCTTCTATTTAAAATAAAAGTTCTTAATCTTCTTCTTTTTGCCGAAAAAATAACTGAACTTTCAGCTTGCTTTGAATGAATTAAATGGTGCTTAAAGTTCCAACTGCTTTGGTTGATCTCGGCCCACTCGGCGCAGAAGCTCTTCTCGGCCGTCCAGTTTTTATTTGTGATTATAGGATGTCGTAGAAAATCTGTGAGGCTTGAAAGGGTTTCCAGCCAACCATCGTGGAGCCTGAGTTTATGGCTGCAAAGTAAAGGGAGGCACCCGTGAGGCCTTTTCGGCGCGGTGCCTCTCGTTTTACAGGTACGCGAGACTGGCTGTAGACACGCTGTCAGAATCTGTTGTAAAGAATGCTGAACAGAACGCGCCACTTCCAGGGGAACATATGGGGGAATTCAAGCGCTTCCCTTTTGGATCTGTGCACCAGTTCGCTCAGGAGTACAGGCTGTTGTTGTTACTTGGCAAGGGAAAAATAGCCCATACGATTTGATAATGTGTTTAATAAAGAAATGTAGAAAGCATATTGAAGGCTGTGAAAAGCTGTGATCCTAAGCTTCAAATCCTATGTTCTTTGGGCTGGCTCCTCATTCTCGCTCCCTCTGTGTTTGTGGCTCATTGCTTTAATGCTTTGGACCTCCGTGAATACCAGGCGCTGCTAAAATAATGGACCCATCACGTGACTGGAGTTTTGAAAACTTCATATCTTCTCCGCCGCCCCAAAAAACTCAAACCCCTGGAAAGTATTAAAGCAAACGGAAAGCCCCTTGTGAAAACAAGCGTAGTGTATTTGGAGGACGGAGCCATTAGGAGAGGTGCATGTAAGCTTTGCATTTTTTGGAAGGTTTGACAGTTTTTCCGCTTGTTTTTTTCCCCACTAACTGGTCATGGGCAGACGTCTTGCTCTCAAGGGGTTTGCTTGTGGATTTGTAGCCAGGAAGCCAAGCAAGGTGAGCTTCCTCAAGGTGGTGAGAGAGAGTAATAGATTTCTCCCGATTGGAACGCTGACAGCAGCTTGATTCTTGCTCCACTTTTTTTTTTGTCTGTGCGACAAGCTATTTGCAGTTTTTTTTTTGTTTTTTTTACACATGGTCATAGTTTCAATGACTGGATGCTTTCACATAAATTCTCTTCAGTTGCACCAAAGCCAAGTTTACTCAGAGGATTTTCTTTTACGTTTAGAATTTTGGGGGCATTTGGGTGTTGTGTAAAAACAAATCCGTCTCTGCACACGTGAACACGTATCATCGGACTTATGTTAAAAATGTATTTCTGAATGCTTTATATAATCTCGTTTTGTACAAGGCTTTTATTTTGTAATTGTTGTTAATAGTTTCAGGTTCTCTGAAGTCAGAAAATGTATGTTTCCTAGTAAATAAGGAGCAGTATAGCGTTTTGCGAACGAACGATGCGAGTAATGAGTGTGCTTTTCTGCCCATACTGACGTCTGTGATATGTTAATGTGTTAAAGCCCTCATTCATTCTGTTGCAGATCATGGATGAGACCCAAACGCAGATCGCCTGGCCCTCCAAACTGAAAATCGGAGCAAAGTCCAAAAAAGGTGTCTTATTTGTTTCTCTTTTCTTAGTAATCCTAAGTATTCTTATATTGGATCCATTTACTTCTACCTTGTGAGACTTGAGTGTTTGTGTTGATCAGGCCCATCTTGATTTAACTATGAGTCAACTCGACATGCGTCCGTAAGCCGAGACTTATCTGATGCAGTCGCTTGACTACTCCAGATGTGTGAATGGCTTGTTAACAACATAGTTGGGATAGTTTTCCACCCCACAAAGGTTAATGATTATTGGTCAATGTTGTCTTAACCAGAAATGTGTTGTCAGGAAAGTTACTGAACTCACGAGGGGGGCGTATTTCACGGTCGCACTTGCATTCATTATTAGAAATGTAATGGAGATGTTTGAAGAAATGAAACTTCCTCACGTACTGAGGAATTTGTGATTTTGCTGATGAGGTTTGGGAGTCACTTGTATCGAAGATTCCTCATTTATTGTTGTTCTCGCGCTCTGTTCCCAATAAAACATTATCACGGTTATTCAAAGCTCTTCTGGGAGGGAGGGAAGCGGGCTTGAAAGAGGTGTAGCTGTGCCCGCTTTGTTGTCCCCAAGAGGATTGACCGTGTGTGTCTTCAAGCCAGATGTGGAATCCGATGGCATTATGTAACTTCCTGTATGGAAAATAGTTGATGGAGTTACATCAGAACATTTCCACCCCCACGCCCCCCCCCCCCCCTCCTGGAATCAACTTTTTAAGGCCTGGCAAGTTATTCACATACAACCCTCCATTCATCACAAACATGCGTTCATTCACAAAACCAACACCACCTGGGGAGGATGTTCTCTACACGAATATCTAAAATTCTGCCCTTTTTTCTTTTTTCTCTCTGTGTTGCGTAAACCGAGACGAGCAGAGGGGAAGAATGTTGGCTGATCACTTATCTTATGAGCGAATGCATGAGAAGAGACGCGATGAGCTGACCTGAGCTCGAGCTTCTTAGAGTTTTCATTTTGAGCTTTTCGATAGAACCTCACAGAAGAGTAAATATTACTTGCATTACAACAATCCCTCGTCCCTTCCCCTCGGTGGAACCAACACGAAGAGTTCTCGCCCCGTTCCCTTCTAAAAATAGCTCATGATGTCGCCGTTTTGAGTTATTCCAATCGTAATTACATGAGCTCTTTTTCCGTGTCTTGCATTATCTTTCATGTGTAGTCTGTAACCGGTTATGCACGGCAGCAGAGCGGGAGATGTGTGGGAGGGGGAGGGGAGGGTTGTTGAAAGTTTGTTACCTCTCCCCAACCGCAGCCACACTACATCAAAATCCCAGATCCTCTATTTAATTCATCACCTGCGGCTGGCTGGCTGCTCCCTGCCACCTGCGCTGGTGTGATAAGGCCATCCGCACTCCGCTAGTGATTTAATGCAGCGAGGAGCCATATCGCTGCCTGCAGGTCTGCAACTTGAGCACAGTGGGACAAGCACAATGCTCTCATATTGTCTCCATGTTTTTATTTCTGAAAGTCTGATTTTAGTTGTGTGTGCTGTGAAAAAATATATATATCTTACTCATCTTGCAGTTATGCTTATCCGCAGCTTTGAATGAGAAACGTCGGGCCAAATGGACCTAATTCCCTTTATTTGTGTGGTATTTTTAAATGTGGTGTGCTGGAAAAATGCTTTGGCTGTGCCAGCGCGGAGCTCCGGGTCAGAAGGTTTCTTCTGTCAAGTGGAGCTATGTAAAATCCGTGCGACCGAAAAATATTCCCCTTTTGCAGCTGCAAGTCGTCTTTGCTTTTCCAGCTGTTCTGGTTGCCAAATTAGGACTTAAGGTGTTCATTTTTTATCCCACAATCAATCATAAATAAAAGAGCATGCAGCACACTCCATTTCTAAAAATGCGGGGGTGTTCTACATCCACAACGCTCGTTTAGGCTGGCTAATGTTTGCCAGATGTGCAGTGCAGGTTGGTCACTGGAAGAGCTATACTCCCTCTGATGGTCGCAGTTGGTGCCACAGGAGGAAGTGGAGGGATTTCTATTGTTCACAGCCACAGCTGTATGATGGGAAAATGTCCTGGAACCAGCTCTGAGACCGTAATAGGTCTCTAACCGTTCATTTTCCCGTTATCTTAGCTTTTTGTTTTTATCATCTCGCACTGCAGCTCGGCTTTTGTTTAGTTCCTTTCCCTCGAGTGTTCAGAGAGCGCTTGTTAAGCTGAAGATCGAGCATCTGTTGTAGTGTCTGGCACTCCATGTTTCCAAGTGTACGTGAAATACAAGGACTGAACCACCTTCAGATGCCTAAAAGACTTTCCCTGCCCTTTGCAAGCTCCGTGGAGAGCGTCTTGGTCGGGCCTGCGGAAGTATTCATCATCAAAAGCATTCTGCGCTTTGGCCGACTTCCTTTGCAATTGTGAAAAGAACTTACTTTCTTTTTTCGAAACATGCATCTGTGCAACTTTGACACTTTCAGTGAGTCGTGCCTGGAGACCCTGCTGTAAGTGTGTGGATGGGGAGGCGTATTCCTGGAAGGTGGCTTAATCGACTTCCTGCTGCTCAGTACAGTTAACACTGAGGGGCAATAGACCATGAGTGTGTACTCCATGCCGATGGATTTGTGTGCGTGTGTTTTCAAATTCGCGTGTTCTCCAGGGGTCCCGGCATGCGGCAGATCCAGATGTGGGTTTACCGAACCATACCCAGACACGAGCATTTAGCTGCGAAGGGGTTTTTGGGGTGTGTGTGTGTGTGTGTGTGTGTGTGCGCCATGATTGGCACACACACACCACTGAAGTGAAGTTTTACTGGCGCAAACCCCCGTCTGCCTTCTGAGGGGTTTGAGATTTCCTCGAGGAGATCGGCTGTATGTGGCCGCTGATAAAGGGCAGTGTCGTGTGCAGCCATGAAAGACGCTGGAAATTGAGTCGGCGTATATTTTGCGGTCCCCGAATGACAGAATGACGACCAAGAAAATGGGGCAAATAATGAAAATGAGGAAAATAATTTTTTCTTTTTTCTTTCTGTTAAAGCTAAATTTCTGCAGAACAATTCTCTCCAGATAACTGTTCCTATTCGACTCTGCTGACTGACAGATTGTGCCGGAGTGTAATTCCACAGAGCTGCACCCCTCCGAGCGCACGCGGTGTGGCGTCTTGCCGACTTAAATGAGCAATTACCATTGCAGAGCTTTTCTTTCACACGCTCTAATTTGTTGACACCTCGGGATTGCTGTGTCATGTTTGTTTCAAATGGATTTGTGTTCCACTGTCTCACATTGTACCTGTGACAGGATAAAACAAGGGTTAGTGAACATACATTGAACCTTCTTAATGCCTTTTTCCCTGCAGATCCTCACATCAAGGTGTGCGGGAAGAGGGAGAATGTGAGGGAAGCCAAAGACAGAATTATGTCCGTCCTCGACACAAAGGTACAGTGAACCTCCTTTATCGCGATGAAGATGGGCTTTGTGTGTAACTCTCTCCTCCTCCTCCTCTGTATTCAGTGTGAACCGAGTGCATTTCCCCCCCCCTCGGCTCTCCCGCTGGTTCCAAGTGACAGATTGCTCACAGCAGTGTGGCACGACACTCTGCACCGCTCCCTCCAGACACTCGCATCCCGAGCCTCGAGGGCATATTGCGTTGTGTGTTCATCCTGGCTACTGTTGCCATGGCAACACATGTAATAACGTACCTGTAGCACCCCCTGGGGGCAGGCAATTATCCATGCACTCTGAACAGCCGAATGCAGAAAAACGACGACGGGCTAATATGGCTGTGTCACAAACAGGCCTCTGTTAATGCACTGCATGTTTTGTGGCTTATTTGTCTCTTTTTGAAATGACTGCAACAAGTGTGTTTACACAAGGGGAGATTTTAAGTTTGAGCTACTGTGACTATTAAGGGGCCGCTGATGGCGGTGGCTTTCAGTGATTAGTGTTACATTGCTGTGAAAAACAGACACATTTGATTTAATGATGCACGTTCAATGTTTTTGACAGTGCAAAAGAAGCATCTCTTGTCAACTGTTTACCATAGGAAACAAATTCCATTGCGTTTAAACCCAAAGTGAAGAAACGAGTGGCGCAGCAATATGTGAATAAAGTGCCTTGCCAAAGCATTTATAATCGCATCCATCTTGCACCACTCACTGAGCTCCTGCAAGCATTAACAATCATCATTTCAACGCAGCCCTCTCTCTCATTTTTCTTTCCTGCTAATCAGAGCAACAGGGTAACTCTGAAGATGGACGTCTCTCACACGGAGCACTCTCACGTTATTGGAAAAGGTGGCAACAACATCAAGAGGGTGATGGAGGAGACGGGTTGCCACATCCACTTCCCAGACTCCAACAGGAACAACCAGGCCGAGAAAAGCAACCAGGTTTGTGTGGCCACCACACGGATTGTTACTGTGATCCGCTGTTCTCACTGGGTCGCAAGGGAAGAATGGAGGACGGCACCAAATATTTTGCTCTTTTGAACCACAGCCCGGCACAATTTATGTTTTGAGTGCAACTTAATTGCATTTGGCGGCACCGGAGTGTTTGCTCTGCGATTCCTTTTCCTCAGCAGTAGCTGAAGCAGTTGGAAGTGGTGTTTCTTGATCAGTGCACGCTGCCCTCCAGGCCGTGCATTAACGACCACAGGGTCTCGGGCTGGTCGGGTCGCCGAGGGGTCGGCCCAGCTGGTTTGTTTTAATTGGCCAGCCTAGAGGAAGCCGCCGTGTTTTGGCTGGACTCGGTGTAGAAAAGCAGCGGGATCCGCTTGTAATTACCATTAAAGTGCGGTGTGGGCATTTCTGCAGGGCTGCCAGTACATGAACCCATGAGGTGCTCTGTTAATTTATTCTTACGGGTCTACTTTAGTGATTTCCTCTCATCCCTGTGGATTTTGCATGGTAAGCCAGTAGTGTGTAGACCATTGAACCTGCCAGTACTCTCTATCTCATAGACTGTTAAACCCCCTCCAGTTCTACTCTCATGATGCAAGTACTCGTGCTAATGAGTGGCAGGAGACTCCTTTTTAGGCCCGAGACCCCTTAAGCGTTCTTTTTTTCTGGTTTCAAAAGCTTGCAACTGGCATATTGAAGGCCAGTGGTGTTGATAAGTAAATATAGATGAGCGTGAAAATCCATGTGGCTTCTTGGCTTACCTTCTCACTAGAGCTGGCAGCATTCAGGAGGTTAAAATATTGTAATTTGATAATTTAAGGTTTCCTTACCTGAAAGCTATCATACTTATTCCACAGCAGATGAAATGCTGCTCCTTTAATCTGGCCTCTCCTCTTGGTGGTTGTATAGGAAAAATAACTTAACTGTAATGAATGTTGAATGTTGTCCAAGAATACAAAACATTAACTAGAAGCATGCTACAAAAAGGGATTAGGTTTTCGTTTAGAGGAAGCCTTTAAACTTTTCATCAGTTCTGGATTTTCCCTTTGACATTTTAAAATGAAGTGTAAGTGTAAAGTGCAAGTTTATGCAGTGATCCAAGCCATTATTTGTCTTGGCTGATTTACATATGTTCCTTTTTATTATCAACAGGTGTCCATCGCAGGGCAGCCGGGAGGCGTGGAGGCAGCTCGAGTAAAAATACGGGTCAGTAGGAATTCAGCCATCTCATTCTCTGCACCTTCAGGGACCACAGCCATTTGTTTCAGCATTGACCAATTTTACTTTGGAGAAAGCTTCAGTTTGCACACACTTTGCTGTTGAGCTTGTGAGCAGTTCAGACGGGATTGAGAAGGTGGTGTGAGATACAGGTAGGTGGCGGGCTAAACCACAGCCTCCATCCATCACAGTCTGAACACCCGTTAGCATTTGACTTTTTTGCTCCCAAGTGTATTCCTCAAAACCGTTGCTTCCTCTACAAACCGAACGTTCGGCTCAGAGTAGCAGAGTTCTCTCCCCAACCGGACCAATGCACAGCTCCCCAGTTGCAGTCAGAAATTATGCACCCTGGACACAGTTTTTAGCTTTTCCCCTTAAGCCACATGCACCCTTCCCAACCTCTTCCCTGACCACTTCCCTGGAGCAATTGCAGAATACGCGCCCGAGACCCGGCACATCCGCCAGCTAATTGTCTACCCTCTTCTCCGGCTTCAGTCTGACTGGAAGCCCGACCTCCAGCCGGAGCTCTGTGGTGCTTTTGGGCCTCTGTGCTCGTGTGAAGTGCCACATCCCTGAACTCTAAATGTACTTCAACACCGCAGCAACCGTGTGCAGCGAACACGTTCCTCCGCCGCCGACTGACCAAAGCTAACAAGCAAAGTGTGTGTGATGGAGAGGGAGACGGGAGAAGGTCGTGCTGGAAATGTGCGCCGTGTGTATTGGCAAATGCCTGCATGGACGCATACCCGTAGCGCTGCGTGCTTAGCGGTTGTTTTCACAAGCATCCACTTTTTTTTTTTCCCTTAACGGGTGAACAAGAGGATAATCAAACCTAACCGTAGCGGTGTTGTAGAAAGAGGTTTAAAATATAAGCTGTAGGGAACCGCAGAGTTTGTTCTGGCCTCCAGAGAGCACACGGTCAGCGGATGACGAGGGAGGATCAGAAGACAGGTCTCCCTCTCTGTCGACTTGGCTTCGTCGGATAATCGCTTTATCCCACGAAAACCCCAAAGTCGTCGATGCCATTCTATTAAACTCTCGGCGGTCACGACCAGACAGCCTTTCCACACGTAGCTTTAATTATGTTTAAGACACATCGCTGAACCCGGAGGCAATTTCCTCAAATGCAGCGATGCAACGTAGTCACTTTTGAGAGAATTCTTTCACCTAATCTGTTGCACTTTGTTCACTTTATCAGTACAGACTACTGACGGAATAAAAGCGCTATTCTTTGCAAATAAAATGTGTGAATAGTAACTGGTCAACAGATACAGCACCAGTCGAGAGTTTGGCCACACTTTCTAGAGGGCAGGTTTGTCGCGATGCAGCAGTTTGTTCACGGTCTTGCTGAGAGTTGGACGAGGGCGATGCTGATGTCGAGCACGGCACATCTTAGCTTAGCCTCGCATGAAGATCCGACGGATAACCCGGCCTGTCCTAAGGTAAAAGAAAACACATGCCATGTTCTATCTTGTTGGTTTAACTTGAATGAGTTTGTGTAAAAAAAACTTTAAGCAAGTTTTCTCCGGGCTCTGGTTTCATAGTGAACTGACAAAAGAGAAGAATAGATCCCCTCATAGAACGTCCCCGAGACATTTCTCAAACTTTCACTTAATTTAAAACCTTTTTTTTTCCTCATAAGAGGGAATGTTTGACGGTGGTATCATGTTATTAAAACCCCACATTGTAAAATACAGGAGGGTTTATTGCAGTTATTGACCCCCTACTGTGGAGGTGGCCAGTGGATAACAATAGTCCGTGTGTTTGGTTCTGGGTGGCCTTCGGACCACATCCTCCCACGTCTCCCCTGGAACCACAGTGGGCTGAGGTTGGGTCTTCTCCCCGAGGTGCATTGGCACTGTATGTAGTGTCCCTTTTAACGTACTACAGCGGGCTCGCACAGTCCAGTCCTGGGTGGAGATTTGTTAGAGTCCGAAACAAGTCGGTTGTTGAGGCGGATGGATTCTCGGGGGATTTCTCTGAGCTTTCCAAGGTGGAGCTGACAGGCAGGTGATGAAAGGTCTGGCCAGTTGCTTTACCTCGAAGATATTTTCCTCCTTCATCCCTCAGCCTCGCGTCAGTGGAACCGAGGCTTTATTTTTTTATCAGCGCTTTCGCTTTGAATACACAGGAAACTCATATGTGCCAGGTAGGGTATTTTTTTTCACCATAAAAATCCCTCTATTCATCACTCGGTGCCCGACTCCTGCTGCTCTGCTTGTCCTCTCTTGCGTTTCCCCTCAATGCTGACCCACAATTCTCAAGTCCGCTGAGAGCGAGTCCTGAAACGCGATACACACGTAAGGCCAAGCGCATATGGGACTGATCAGGCAAGCATTTCTTTGGTCAGAGCGATTCATGCTGCTTGCCCTTCACTGGCAGCCAAAACCATAGTGGCGCTCTGCCCAAAACTCAGTGTTTGGATAACTGTGTGTGTGTGTGCGTGTATTCATTCTCTTCTTTGTGTAAATTCCCTTTAGTTTATGTGTGTGTGTGTGTGTGTGTGTGTGCGTGTGCGTGGAGCTAGGCCCTTCCCGTCTGCTTCTCTTTTGTCTTGATGACTGGCCGTGATACAAATGACGAGAGCTGATGTCTGTGGAATTTTCTGTGGTTTGATTCAGTGGTTTGAAATGAATGTATGTGAATGAGCCGTCCGTAGACCGGGGACGCCCGTTGTTATTAAACTAATCAGTTGTTTTGATTTTACTTCTCCCCTTTCCATTATTTCTAATGCTGAATGACTCATTTCTAAGAAGCGAATGAGCAAATCTCTGGTAAACACAAGATCTGAAGTGGTACTTTTTGCGTGAACGACTGCTGCCATAATATTTAAATCTGCAGCATACTTCAAGTAACAAAGGATTCCTCTCTTACTGCCGGCAGTGCTGATCTCGTTTTGATTAACTTGTCTGGATTTATTTGAGCTGACGGCAAAGTTTTACCACCTTCTGCTCAAGGGACTGTTGTTATGTCTGTGTCAGTCCACACGATTCTACAGTATGTGGAGGAATCACAGCTTTTCTGTGTTTTAATCAGAATGTGAATGCACTAAAACTATATAGGATTGTGTGCAGGACTGTTTTATTTGCGTATTTCCTGGCTGCAGCACAATGAAAAGATGCCCGGCCTCTAGGAACTGCAGCAGCTCCGCATGGCGCTGGTTCTCTCGGGCGTTTCACTTTTGTTTCCTCCTCTCTCCACCCGCCGCCGTGCGCGTTGCAGGAGCTGCTCCCTCTTGTGCTGTCTTTCGAGCTTCCCGCCATCATGCAGTCTGACCCCGGCTCCCCGACTGTGCAGCACATCTCTCAGACCTACAGCCTCACCGTCTCCTTCAAGCCCCCGACCCGCCTCTACAGGGCCACCGGCGTGGTCCGCGGCTCACAGAACAACGCCCCTTCCGTCAAGGTGAGGAGGGGTTCCCCTTTAAGCGAATATCAGATAGTTTAGTGCTGATCGGTCCAACATCCAGCGTGTGACCCGTTTTAAAGTTGCTTGAGTAACTAACCAAACCCCGAAACGGTGCACTCCTCGTCGTTTCAGGGTAACAATATCTGGAGTTAATGCCCTCATTGTTCTCCACCCGTTTACATGGCCGAGCCACAGACCAGGGAAAAGGTTTCCACATCTGAACCACGTCATGGCCCACCCAACACTGTCAGCGCTCCTCGCTCCTCTCGTTTTAAGTGCCTTATTACTTTCAGCACCACTGGGGCAGCGGAGTGCTGAGAGATATTTGGGTCGCTTGAACTGGACAGCTGCTGCTTAGGCGCTCCGGTGGGAGGGAGGGAGAGAGAGAGAGACCCCAGCAAGTCCAGAAGCCTCTCTTCCTTAATTGCATTTTAAATCGATATGGTAGTGTCTCACTTTGTTTCCAGCCGACGGCTTGTTTAAGCGTACACATACTGTGTATTTCATGAATGCTCACAGATGCGCTTCCATAGCTGGCACTTGGGTTGCGGCGAGCAGAAGTCTGGCAAGGGAGCCGTTTCCCCGTCGCTGCCAAATCATATCTACCGAACTCACTTTCTGCTTCTACACAGCCTCTGTTAAAAATATGGAGCTCACTTGTGTTTTCTAGTGAATGCATCTGGCGCATATTGGTCCCTGCATTTATTGATTCACGTGGGCTTGTGCACTTTTAATTTCATTTGCATTATTGTGTGCATTTGTTCACGTTTTTATGTGCAGATGTATGCAGAAGCACGGCCCCCTGAGTGCGTGGTAGGTCTGGGGTGGAGGGGGTCAGTCAGGATTGGGAAGTACTGGAGTACTGAAGGGTGGAGGATTAGAGGAATATGTGTGCTATGTCATGTGGGGGTGTGAGACACTGGGAGCCCCCTCGAGGATTGCCGAAACCACTGTGGATTGTTGTGTTATGCTGGCCACAGTGTGTGGATTGTCACAATGGCACCAATGGAAATGACTTACTTTACTGGGCCAAGTGATGGTCTGCAGAGCCGGCAAGGAATGCGACTGTTCAACAGGGCGGCAAACGCAGTGGAAAATATAATAGTTTCCATTGATTGTAAAGACAAAAAAAAAGCTCTTTCAGGGAAACTTTGCTGCACTAATCCTCTCGTTAACTCAGGAGTTTGAGGTCTGGCTGTCGTTCTAAACATTTTTCCAGCTTATTTGTCCCATCTTTATGGGATTTAATTGATAGTTTAGTTTGATATTTTTTGAGAAGTCAGTAAATCCACCGTAGTCTTATTTTATTGTTTGTAGATTTCATTTTTACACTCGTGGGTCATCTTTTCCTTCAATTATCACCCATCCAAAGAGTTGGAAAACTTTGTACAGTATAATAGTAAGCGTAAATATAAATGCACTGCTCACAAAATAATTTTAATTATCAGCAAGTGAGAAGTAGTGAGTATATTAATTGTTTTAAAGGATTTCTTTACCAAGCCGAAGAGGATAAACATCTGCTTGTTTGTGCCCCTCAACTGTGATGAGTTGCTGCTTTTATCAGAATCATATCATAATAATGTGCCTTTGTGTAGTATATTGGACTTTTGGTTTATTTTCACTGTGTCCCCAAAATCTTATCAAATGAGCCGTGTATTTTTTAATATCTATTCATAGAATCTTTGTAACATTACCTTGGGCATCCTGGTTTTCCCCAGAGGGGCACAGCTCTGCTGTTGGAGCATTTGGCTGGCAGCCTGGCGAGCACCATCTCCATCACCACCCACCTGGACATCGCGCCGCAGCACCACCTCTTCATGAAGGGCCGCAACGGCAGCAACATCAAGCACATCACCCAGCGAACGGGAGCCCAGATTCACTTCCCCGACCCCAACAGCCCCCAGAAGAAATCCACGGTCTACATCCAGGGCACCATCGAATCGGTCTGCCTGGCACGGCAGTACCTCATGGTGAGTACCTCGTGTGTGTGTGTGTGTGATCTGTTTCGGGGTTAGGAGGTGGCATTGGTAATGGATCATCTAACGCACAGGTTCCACAGACATGTGTGGTATCTTTTAATAGATATCAACGTGGGGTTTTCGAGGTGGGGTTTAAGAAGTAAACGATCTGCAGCCGCCTCAAGGTCTGCCTGCGTGACCTCCGGCTGTATACAGATTATCTCCCTCGGTGTAAAAGTAGTGATCTGGCTTTCTCTACGCTGTCGATTTTAGCGGATGTTAACGTCAACTCTGACTGTAATTCACAAGTCAGCACGTTACCGTTTTTTTTGGACCAGGAGGAAGCGCCTCACATTTGGATTTAGAACCGCTCTGTGGTGAACTAAGCTTTGGCTTTCTCTTTGGAGAAGAGCGCAATTCTGCCGGAGTCTTCTTTGTCTGCGGTCTCCCAATTTGGCCCCCGAACAATTTCAGCAAACGCTAAGAGTTGTTGCAGTGGCTAAACGTGACTTTCTGTAGGTCTGGAGCGAGAGGTCGTAAAACGGGTCGATTCATGAGTGGAGAAGCACAGAAAGCAGCGGATGGGCGAGGTGGATGGAGGAAGAAGAGCAGAGCGTACAGAGTCGGTTGTGTGCTGTGTGATTTGTCCCCTTCCAGGCAGACTTTAGATTACAGCTCCTATGTCGGAGCGAGCCAGGCCTCTATACGGTGCTGCTAATTACACCCACTCAAAAATAGGAGCGCTGTCCAGTTCTCAGCCCGAAATATAGATGTCTGTGGTGCTTGTGGTGGTGATCATGCAAAAAGGATTGCTCTTTTTTTTTTTTTTTTCACACAGAGATCGGAATTTCCCGATCTCTGTGTGGGAATTCAGCAGTGACTCTAGTATTTATTGGCATGCAGAACATGTAGGTCTACAAATGATTCAGTGAAATATACCACTGGTGCCGATATACTTTTAATTTTGTGTTTGCGTCCACAGGGCTGCTTGCCTCTGGTGTTAATGTTTGACATCAAAGAAGACATCGAGGTGGATCCCCAGTGTATCACAGCACTAATGGAGCAGCTCGATGTCTTCATCAGTATCAAACCGAAGCCGAAACAACCCAGCAAGGTATGACACAGGGCGCGCAGTCACACGGCACAGCGGTTTCAGGGTCATTGTTTAGCAGAAATTATTGGAATGTACTGCGCTTCTGTATTGTGCAGCATTAGCAACCGTTTTAATGCAAAATATCATAAAAGGAAAATAAGTAAATAATTGAATCCGCTCCAACAGCTCGTAGCTGCCTTCCCAGGGAGAATAAAGACACAGTTCCATTGGCGAATTACACGCTCCGTCAAACGTCGCTGCATGACGTTGAAGCGAATTATACATCCCCGTGTCACATTTCATCGCTATCTGACATTTAAAATCGGAAAAGCTGGAACCTCACAGCGAGGGGAGTGGTGCCGTAAGGAGGTGACAGCGTGGAATCACTGCCTGCCATGGATTCAATCTGTCTATTCTGCCCCTCAGCTATTCCATCTAACAAATGACTAACTTGATATGCTTGTCCCCATTCTCCTCATATCAGATAGAGTTGAATCAGAGACACATGTCGATCATTTGCGTATTAAAGGGCATCAACTGCGGTTTGCCTGTGTTCTGTCCATTTGGCGAGCCGGTGTTTCTCATGGTGTCCTCGTTGTACGACGCACTGTTCCAAAGCCTATTTCAACACTTGGCCCGATCCTGCATGTCTCTTCGAGGTGCCCACGTCCCACCCAGAGCCAGGGCTCAGTGCCCGGAACCCGACGGGCCGGTGAGGTGCCGGCGCAAACACGGCCCGACCCAGATCCTCTAAAGAACCCCTCGCTTTAACATTATAACGAGGTGACAGCAGTAATCCAATAAGGCCCATCCAAAAGCCGCTGTGTTGCCTAGAGGCAAAAAAAAGAGCGAGTGCATTATTTATGCTCACTTTCCATTTTGATTGAATGTTTCTTAAGGACGCGGCTTCTGGTGATGTGGAGAATGAAGATTTTTTTTTTTTTTTTTTACTGAAATCTTATTCACAATTCTGTATTTTTTTTTATTAATTGCTTTGTAGCATGATAGTCGTTGAGTTACAGCGATGAGCGAGATATTGTGTGTTGTGAAATTGATTCGAAAATGCTTTTTCTCACACTGCATCAATGTTTATCCTTCCAATCTATCCTACATCCCCCTCCCTTTTTCCCCTTAATCTGCCCCCCCCCCCCCCCTCATCCTCCCTTTTCCCTCCCTGTCTCTGATGCCGACGTTCTCTCCCGAATCTGTCCCCCAACTCCTCCCCCGCCTGTCCTCCTCCTCTGGTTGCGTCTTAAGCCGGTCCCCCCCGCTCTGGGGTGGCTCTTTTCTCCCCTCTCGGCTTCCTCGTTCTCCCCCCACCTGTCTTTTCTTCACTCCGTCCCGTCTCAGTGTGTGATAGTCAAGAGCGTGGAGAGGGAATGCGAGTGAACATGTACGAAGCCCCGAAATTTCTCTTTTGGTCTGGAGAGCAACGGGGTGTCGTCGTCCTTCCTCCGTGGCGCTGAATCCCTCCGCGAACGTCCCGTCCCCGTTCCCTCATCTGCCCGTCGGCCTGGACATCCTGGCCTCAGCTGGCCTGGGGCTGAGCAATCTGGGTAGGACAAACTGAAACTTTATTCCACGGGGGGGGAAAAGAAGTTGTGTGCAAAGAAAAGTGACCCTAAATTAATAAAAAATAAAATGTCTTCTGCGGAGGAGCTTATGAACTCATGCAGCAACGTCATTTGAATCGGTACCAGTCCCACATGGATAGAATTCTCTCCTAGCAAAACATCTGTTAAAGCCATCTGAGTCAAAGCCCGGCATCACGTGGTCCGCTGAATCCTACTGCGGGAGATTTTTTCTAATTCAGACACAGATCTTCTCAAAATCCACATAAATCAGAGCCATGGAGTCATGACATCATCATCATCATCTGTATGCGCTCTACTGTAGGAGTTGTTCCATCTGAGGACCGACCCCACCCTTATGGTACTACTATTATGACGAGATATGAGTCCCGCGTGAACAAATCTTTGATCAGCCAAGCATCAGAAAATAACCTCATTCTCTGATTTAGTTGAGCCAGTTTGAATGAATCATTGACTCGTGAATCACAGGATGATGAGCGGTTATAACTGACGGAGGAGTTTTTGTCTGACCTCAACGTGGAGGCCCACAATTCTGTATGGAAGAGTGTTTTTTATGTTTCCAAGGGCGACTTTTAAATGGATTCTATTACGACTTTGCTGTATGTGTATATATATAACTCCATTTATCTATTTTTTGCTGTCATGTAATTTAAGAAGTACATGAGCAACGAGTCAGCAGAAGGAACAAGTGAGCCATGTTTTTGCAATTGTGTGTATTTGATTTTGGAAACGTTTTCTTCTGATATTGATTAACTTGATTTTTGATTGGCATTTTTTTGTATGTAACAAGAAAGGGAAATCAACAGTAACACATAAAAATAATGTGCCATAACCCTCCGTCTCGTTTTTTTAACGGCCACGGACGGCCACATCCTGGCCTTTAGTAATTGCTACATGCTTCTTATCCTCCGATTACAGGCCAGTCTGCCAGATGAAGACTGGACCTTATTCCTGGAGCCAAACAAGCCCCTTGTTAAAGCCACAGACTTGCTGCTTTCTGTTTTCATACGCTGTGTTGGGGTTAAGACACCAACCACCACATTGTTGGTGCTCTGAATAACATGTTTTCATTGGGCGCGAGGACATGCGAGATATGTACTTCAGCGCCCGCGGCCTTGTAGAAATGCACGAAATTCTTCCCCCTCGTTTGCCGTCTGGTTGATGACAGTTTGATGGAATTCCGGTTGAATAGCTGGGGGTCCAAAATGATTTCTCGAAGGCCGTCGGGCAAAGTGCGATTAGCTCGAAGAATGTCTCTCCGTGATTCGACGGCTCCACCGCTGATGTATTCACCTCCCGCTCCCTCCGTTGTGTCGCGTTCAGGTTTCCTGGGAGCGGCGGCGGCGGCGGCGGCCCACTCCCTCAGCAACTCTGCTGCACCCAACGCCGTCCTCAACAGCTTGAATTCCTCCATGAGCCCTCTGCAGAGCACCGGCCAGAGCACCCCGACACCCACCCCGTCCCTCTGGCCCAGCTCACTCACCAGCACCCAAGGTGGTGCTCCATTTACCAACGTGTTTTCAATGAATTCCATCTCTACATCATGCAAACCTAAAGGTCACATGGAAAGCTGCACCTTTTGGAGCAGCTAAAACTTTTCAAATTGTTAACGCCACGTTCTTCATTCATCATGTCTTAAGGCTTCTCATCTCAGCTGCTGCTGCACCCTGCTGCCCAGGCCACCCTGAGTAGCATCCTGCTGTCAGGTGTTCAGGGCTACACGCAGAATACACCGTCTCCTCCACCCGGCCTCGCCCCAATAGATCTGCAACCCAACGGGGTCCCCGACTGCTCCAAGGGCTCCTGCTCCCTCAATGGACACGTCAAGGTTGGGCCGAGTTATACAGTTGATGCTGTATTTTGAGTTCACTTTGACTTTTCTGTTTGGTAAATGTCTTGTCTAAATGTCTATTTCTTTCTCCACGTGTGAATACAAAGCATTCTGGCTCCGTCTATGGGAGGATGGGGACGGCGTCACTCGCAGAAACGGTTTTGAGTCCGGCCCCGTGTGACTCGGTCCAGGAGGCCGGTGGACACAATCCTTCAAAGCCGCGGTCTAGCAAGTCTGACCCAGATGAAGGTATTCCTCTTAAGCACCTCAACCAGCCTCAACTGTATGTGGCATGTTCCTGTGTCTAAGCTTCAGTATTTGCTCTTATTTTATTTTTATAACAATAACCAGTTTTATTTGTATCAATTTGGTATTGTGAGGACAAATCATACTTATTCTGGTCATGTAGCAGCAAAGGAGTTTATTATTTTATAATTTGCCCATGTGGCGCGTGGCCACGTGCAGCCGGTTTAACAACTTGTTAAACATTTCAGTGCATGTAGTTTACACATAACCCCGTCCACATCTGTTTTGAGTGCATCCAGTCTTATTCTGCCCTAAATTATGCATTGTCGGCAGTTCCCAGCTTTCCTTCTAATCTCCCCCCCCAACTAAAATATCAGGGCTATCTTGTTCTTTTATATAATTTTACTTTCAACCTTCTTGAAACATGAGTTTTTAGAAAAGAAAATTATAGTCAATTCTTTTTCCTAAAATATTACTTACAACCTGTGTAGAAATGTATTGTTCTATTGGAAGTCTTGCCCCCAGGTGTCTGTTGTAGCAATGACGAGAATCTTGTGATTTAAGAATGTTTTTTTTTAACCATCCCAACTTTTTTTTTGAGCAGTCAACATTTTCAACTCCGCTGGGCTGCGCACACTTTACATAAATGTCCAATTTAAGCTTATACACTTGAGATTTATGTAACCCATAAACCCACTTTGAGGAGAAATGCCTTTGAATTAACTTATTTCTATTTCTCTGTACCGTTCTAACCTCACACTCCCTCTTGGGGGGGCAGATTAACCGCCGGTCTCCTCGCGGTTCACAAGGGCCCTGGTTTCCTCCGGGTCTTGCGCTCGCGGTTTTCCCCTCAAACGTTCACTCTCACGCGTCTCGTTTTTCCCTGCTGTTTTCTGAGCCGGTCCTCCCCCAGTCCGGTGCATCCCGGGAAAGTTCCCCCCCCTCCCCTCCCTCGCCTCCTCCTGTGTCCCAGAGTGTGTTTGGACTGGCTCGCCCGGCCCGATTGACTGTGCTCTGTGGAATGAGAGTGTGCGGGGGGATTGTTCAAACATTAAACCCCAGAGAGATTCATTAGATTGACTGACATCATATTATTTTAAGCTATACAGCACACCATGTACATTCAGCATAAACTGGAACACACGCACACACACACACACACACACACACACACACACACACACACACCCTACTACACACAGCGGGTTCCTGTCAGACTGGAAGGAAAGCCGCTATAATTGCAGCTGCTGTTTTTTTGATTAATCCGGGATCCAACTGAGACTCGTCAGACTTAAACACACACACACACACACACACACACACACACACACACACACACACAGACGCCCACCAAGCCACACACACACCGACTTGGTGGGTGTTTCAGCTGTAGTTGTGGTGATATTGTTTATCTTCTCTGTAGAACACCGAGGTCTGCTGTAAACATTTGGATAGATTTAACTAGGGAGTAAACGCTGAAAATATAATCAAATTCTGATTTTTGAAACGCTTCCTGCAGGTTCGGACACGTTTGTGGAAGTGGGCATGCCCAGAAGCCCCTCGCACTCCGCCAACGGAAGTGAGCTGAAACAGATGCTGGCTTCATGCAAGACGTCATCGGGGAAGCGGCAGGCCGTGGAGCTGCTGCAGGGCACCAAGAACTCGCATCTACAGTGCGTCGCGATCTAGTCTGTTTAGGAATTCTTTTTTTAATGCGAAGGAATTGGGTTTTAACACACAAAGTAAAGGAGAAGGTTATTTTGTCCGGTATGGACACAGCGAGGATATCGGAACATAACTGTACCTCAGTATTGAGAAGGAGTACGAGTTTCCCACTCGTGATCCTGCTTCTTCTGTTTAACCCCGACAGCTCTGATTGTCTCCTCTCGGACGCCGAGTCCAGCTCGTCAGACAGCCCCGTGGCCGATAAGAGGGCGCCGGGCAGCGAGCGGGCGGCTGAGAGGGCAGCGCAGCAGAACGAGAGGGAGCGAATTCGACTGGTACCAGGGACCTCCTTGGCCAACATACAGGTACACACACACACACACAAAACACACACATATTCAAGACACAGAAAAAAGATATGCGGGTTTGGAGGTATTTATAACTCATTAAGGGGGAAAAAACGGTCTGCTGTCTTTTCAGGCGTTTGACTATGAACAGAAGAAGCTGTTGGCAACCAAAGGTAAGTTGTTTTTTGTTATTTGATCGAATGATTTGAGTAGTGCCAAAATACGAAATATGTGTGAAATGAAATGCTGTAAAATTCAACTTTCATACTACTTGGGTGCATAACAAACAAATTGATGTATTGCAATCAGCGAAAAAAGTCTAGTTAATGGGAGCACTGACAGCATTCAAGTTATAAAATAAATACACTGACTGGATTGTAGCCTTAAGTGAGTCGCCGTACGTCTGTATCCACTCAGCCATGCTAAAGAAGCCCGTGGTGACCGAGGTGCGGACTCCCACCAACACCTGGAGCGGTCTGGGCTTCTCAAAGTCCATGCCGGCCGAGACCATCAAGGAGCTGCGAAGAGCCAATCACGTTCCATACAAGCCGAGCATGAGCACCACCTTCGAGGTCAGACCACTTTTTGGTCTCGCTGTGTACATTTTAATGAGGTTTTTGGGTTTCTGTTCCGCGTATTGAGAATGCAGCGTCAGAACTCCGTTAAATGGATCGTCTTTCTTTCCCTTGCTTTCCGTCTCAGGACTCCCCGCTGTCCCTGTCTCGATCCAACAGCCGGGAGGGCCTCGGCAACGGCAGCGACTCCGACAACTGGCGAGACAGGAACGGCGGCATTAACGGCCTCCCGTGTCACGCCGAGTTCCCCTCCGCTGTCGGCAGCCCCAAGAGGAAGCAGAACAAATCCGGTCAGTCGAGCGCCGAGCAAATTGAACGTTTCCTCGGCAAACTGCGGGAGGGCAACGACGTCGCTTGTTGCAGAGACGGCACTTCAGCTACATTTTATTGGCTTGATAAAAATAGAAAACTGTGCGTCGCTTTTATGTGACTTTTCTTCAAAATAATCAGTGTTTTGTGTGTTCCGATGGACAGCTGCGGAGCATTACCTCAGCAGCAGCGGCAACTACATGGACTGCATCTCCTCGATAACCGGCAGCAACGGCTGCAGTCTGAACTCGCCTCTGAAAGGCTCCGACCTGCCCGAGCTCTTCAGCAAGCTGGGCTTAGGGAAGTACACGGACGTCTTCCAGCAGCAAGAGGTACGCCGACTGGGAACCTCTTCTTCTAGTTAGGATTTGAACCAGTCTTAGGAATGTAGGAGGTTAAAGATTTCCAGAAACACTGATGAAATGTTATATGTAGCGTCAATGGGTTTATGACTTCATGTAAAATATTTACCTAGAACTTTGTATCTTTTTGTTTACTTTTAGAAAAAAAAGTTTTAAGCTTGGCAAGGAAGCAAAAACATAAAAAAAATAAAATAAAAAAAAAGGTAAATGGTGCAGATTTTGTTGATCCCTCAACTGATACATGCAGTGCAATCCAATACTTTATTATATCCAAATACCTGCAAACTAGTAAATGTTAGCATTGAAAAATGAAATCACGATGTTGAACCGATCGACAATACCGGCTCTACGTCTGCTCGTTTTAGCAGGTCGATTAGCTCAAAGCTTCCCATCTAGCATTGTGGCAACCAACCGAAACAGATTTACCCATCATTAGCATCATCATGGACCTTTTAAACTTCCTTAATGCAGTGTATTGTTTAGTGTTATTTTTTAATGAATTCATACGAAGTATCTGTAACACGAGATGAAAGTAGAGAGAAACTATAGGACATAGTTCTTGGAAAATGTGTTAATGCAAAAGTTCTTTAAGTAGTTTCAGTGTAGTATTTGTCACAGCAGACCGTTTTTGCTGGCTCGTGTTGTTAAATGGACATGTTGCGTGTTCCAGATCGACCTCCAGACGTTCCTGACTCTAACAGACCAGGACCTGAAGGAACTGGGCATCACCACCTTTGGGGCCCGCAGGAAAATGCTGCTCGCCATCTCAGGTACCAACGAAGAAGAGCCCGTGGGTTTCTCGTCTTATCTTTTGTGTAGACCCGTAGAGAAGTACAAGGGAGTAATGTGGAGACATTATTCTAGTGAATATGTGTGAAAACATGTTGCAGGAATAAATGGGATTAAGGCACATTCTTCTCACATGAACGTGTTGGTTTTCCTCCAGTTGCTCCAGCTGCGTCCCTGATGCTGATGTAGACTTTGTCTTGTCTTTGCATGTAATTATTGGATATAATGAGTGAATCTTGTTGGAGTGACACTTTATTACTGGTGTCATATTCTGGATATTAAAGCCGCTGGAATTAGGCTGCGTACATTAATCATACTCACGTTGGAACCACGAGCTAAATGTCATGGATACTCTGTATTTTCATACATGCATACAGACAACTGAATATTGGATAATGTCATGTTGAACATTCTTATTTCCTTTTGTCGACATAATAGTCAGATGTTTTTACAGGGTGAATCTTTGGATATGCTTTTTTTTCTTCCTCCATAAATCTGAACCCTTGGAATCACTTTAGCTTCTGTTGACGTTCTGTGGTGCTTCTCCTCCTCCTCCTCCTCCTCCTCCTCCTCCTCTTCTTCTTTTTCAACACAGAACTAAACAAGAACCGGAGGAAACTATTCGAGCCGCCCATCAGGTCCTCTTTCCTGGAAGGGGGAGCCAGCGGCCGCCTCTCCCGTCAGTTCCACGCTGACATAGCCAGCGTGAGCGGGCGATGGTAGGTGACTGCAGACCTACGACCGTCCACGATGGAGACACCAAGCGCCTCAACAGCCCTGGCTTGAGCTGAATGAAGACTGACAAACGTTTTTGTTGCCATATAGTATAAATATATATATATGTTTAAAAAAAAGCCATAGTTTTACCTGAAGTGCCATCAAGAAAGAAGGGATTTTTTTTCTGAAGCATAAAGTTCAGTGTTCACTCCTAATTGAGCCATTGAGTCTCTCTGGAGCATTTATATATGAAGGTTTGTTGTTATGGTTCTGATGAAGGGTACTGTCCAGTATTTCTGTCCAATTTTCATTCAAGGGAACAGGCAGAAGTATTAGTACAATCATTTTACACTTTGATACGGCCTGCATTTGTAGTATGCTGTTTTATCAGTGACATGCACTTTAATATTACTAGACTTTTGCCTGTGAGAGCCTAATTCATTGGATTCAAATAACTATGCTTTGTTTCTTTTTTTTTCCTTTTTTTCTATTGACTAAAAGCACAGTTGCATTTTGTACCAAACCAAATATAAGCACTTACCAGTGAGTTTAGTGCGCCACCAAATCTGTCCGCGTCAAATTGGTGACTTAATCACCCATAACAAATACCAAAGGAAAGTATCGTTGTGGTCTTTGCCCTTTGGATGCCTTCGTGTTTTCATTGGTGGACATTCCTGAGGTCCGTGTTTGTGTCCTCAGTCTGTTTGTATGTCTGTGTTTACTAGACAAAAAAAATCTAATATTTTGTACTCTCTCTATATTATGATTATTTAGTTTTTATTACCATTTTAGGGCGATGAGTAGGATGTTTAACGGTAATCAGTTTACATTTGTATTTTTTTATACATTGAGTTTGTTATTTTTGTAATTAGATTATTAGTATCTCACCATCTTACTTTCCTGACTTTTTTTTTTTTTTTTTTTAAATCTGTGGAGCCGTAATGTGGCTGTGCCATGAGACGCGAGGCAGTTAGGCAAAGCTTTAGAAGTCCTCGCTCTGATTGTGTCACCAGGCCTCTTCTATGGCTCTCCTGTTTGTTTATAGTACGTGGCCTTTTGTCAGAATCTGTTATGTGTCCCCGTTGGCCTCCCTGTGGCCCCCTCGTGTGTGCCGGAAATCTCACACAAGCCCTCCTCCGCGTATCCAGACCTCCAGTTGCTATGCTGGAACTCTCTGTGCCCCTTCTGTCTTCCTATAAACTGGCTCTTCCATTTAGAGCAAGGAAGGACCTATCGGAGGAAGGTCATGTTGTTCAGAAGGTCCGATGTACACAGCTGTTTTTTTTTTTTTTTGTTTGTTTGTTTTCAGCAGGTAGATATTTGGTTAAGAACACAAATGTCTTCTGGTCTGAGCTTCTCCAGTAGGAACCAGTGCACTCACAGCCAAATTGGTGTCATATGAGAATATCTGCAAGAGACGGAAAACAAGAAATCAAAATCCTCACCGATTTTAGGAGGAAAACAAATAGGAATCTGGAATCCTCTGTTGTCAGTCGTGCACTCTAATACCCAGGAAGCGGAGTTAAGCAGACTTTAATGAAGGAACCGGATCATGCGTGCGGTAGCCGTGTTTATCATAAAGGCTTGTTCTGTATTCTCTTCGGTCATGTGTTGGGAAAAGGATGTTTTCCTTTTCCAACAATTCATTAACTGTGGATATCTCAAGTGTTATTCCGAAGATTCATGAGGATTCGGCCTCCGAACCGAACCGACCCAAAGTCTTTGGATCAAGTGCAACTAAGTGCCTCTTTGTAAACCTTTTCCTTTTTTTTTTCTTTGCTGTACGAAGTTTCTAAAATCGTAATGCTGACAAAAGTCGTATCTTTGTTTAAATGAAAGTACAGTGTTTATAACCGACTGGGTATGTGAAGGAAATCATCCCGGTCGAGTCGCCAAATTTAACTACAAAAAGGGCAACCGCAGTCATCACGTGGCCTCGTACAGAGAGACGGTTAATTTGTTCCCCCCCCCCCTCTTTTTAAGGGGAGTTGTTGTTGTTGTTTACCACGTTCCCACCTCCATTCTCTCCAACCTGGTCGTCAAAAAGCACTACTCTAAATGAGGATCTGGCGCGGTTGCCGACTTCAACCGGGGAATTGTCATTGAGAACGCTAATCTAGACGGGGATAGCTTATCCTGAGAGGAGACCCCCCCCACCCCCCACCCCCCCACTCATCATGGTACTACATTGAAACTGTTGAGCACTGATTCCACCAGTGCTGTGACGCGTGTTCCTGCCTCGCAGACATTTGTTTTTCATCCCTCACCTTGTTCCCGATGCTTTCGCTCGGAGGGCAGAGGAGTTCTTGTCTTATCAAGTGAATGTTTAAGAATAAAAAATAATAATATAGATGCACGTTATTGCAAATTTATCACGGATCATTGAAGGGACTGGAGTCGAAACGTTTACTGCCAGCTTGTCTAGTCTTTTCCCTCTGATGGAGTAGATTCACAATTATGTCTTTGATTGGTTCTATTCATTTTGTTGTTCCCAAAGGGATTTATTTGAAGGAGTCTTTGTACTGCAATCGATTGGTACATTTATAATAAATGTAAACCACTAAGGATAATCCATAACTTTTTGTACAACTTTTTCATCTTATGCAACCATTGTTTTATTGTGTGAGAAAGGTACAATTCTGCACAAACTTCCACAGAAGAATTTGTGTACAAACATGCCATGTGGCCAAAGCTCTGTTCAATGTGGCATCTGTTGATGCTATTGTTCTAATTGTATTATATTACAGATATAAACGGGACATTTTGGAAAACTGTCAAGCAGGCCAAAAAATGCATTCAAATATTATGAAGGTAATAAATGTATGCAAACAAAGTCCATTTTGGGAGTTTTTGATTTCTGCCTTCATATGTGTATATATAAATAATAGTGACGTAAGGTTTATAGCATGTTAGTCACATCCTTTATTCACCGTACTCTCTTCTGTTATAAAGCCCTATAGCAACAGTAATCAAAAGCTCACACATACTCTGCAGTTTGAGGATCCTCCCGGTTCCATGTGGTTTCGATGCCGACCTATGGCCTAATCCGCATCGCCAGGATCTGCTTAATCTCCTGCGACTAATGGAGATTTTGTAGAGATAATGTATAGTGTAATGCTGGAGAACAAATTCATTCATTAAGCTCAGTCTCAAGTCTGTGGCTCTTAATTTGCTGCCCATCTGTCCTCTGCACCAGGTTCTGGGACCATTGAAGTATAATTTGTTGTTAGAACTTTATTTTGTACGATTTGTATTTAGTTCCAAAGAGATTTTTTTTAAAAGGATTCATCTTTGCTTTTTCATTACTTTCCAGCCATTATCCAGGTCACATGCAGTTCTTCAATGAGAAATTGTTGGGTAGAGTTTAAGTGAGATCTTAAACTTTGCACAGTGTCTCCTGGCTGTGCCCCATTTGCATTGAGCCGTGGCCCAGTACCTTTTTTTATTAATGCATGCAGAGCAGTAAAATTGCAGAACCAGACCATCGACTTCAAAGAAAAAAACATTTGGAGAAGTTAATACGTGTTTTCCTTCTCAATTCTCTGCAGAAACCGTGTCAGTGAAAACCTCCAGAGGGCAGTGTTGCCTCTCAAAATGTCCCTCTTCTCTAATAAAACATGTGCAATGGTTACACAGCAATGGCTTACATGTTTAGATATTAAATTATAATCAAATCATTTTACTTATCCCACATTGCACCAACTTTTGGAAGCTGCATTTTGCCGGAGGTAAGCAAGTTTTCTTCTTATTCATGACCATATTTAGGGCTCCAAACATCATCCACAGGCCCGTTTGATGCGGTTTATTCATGTTCACATGGTGCACACAGAGAGCCTCTCATCCACCCAAACGAGCCCTTAAGACAGACGCGATGTTCCTGGCAGGTCTCACTCGCACGCTCTCGTCCTCACTGTTTTCCCCCCCAAAAGACACTCCCTTAGATGAATACTACGCTGAAGGACATAAATACAGGTATGTTGCTCTGCGGTCCTCGGGAGTGATGTATAGGAAGGATGATGACAAAACTGGGAAAAAAAGATCATGAGCTACGTTGTAATTGTTTGACTCACTGTGAAACCTAAAGTATACCTTCGAGTCTCCACCAGAACAACCATTTCTATTTCACCGAATAAAGCAATCTAACACGCTTCAAGCATAAAGGCTCTAGAGAAAAGCCATTAAATCACAAATATCAAAGCCTGCACGACTCACTTTGGGCGATTACGTGTAGGGCACAGCTGGCAATCATTCTCAGTGCCCGGCATGACCAATTCGAATTTCATGTTCTATTGTGAGAGACGGACAGAGTGAAAGACTGCTAAATTGAAGAGAAAAGAAGCTATGAGCTTTTCTTTCCTTTTCTTTTTTAATGACTAACCAACCATGCATTTATTCTGCATCCCCCGTTTGAAGAGCAGCGGAGTGCACAGCATCACATATTGTTCTCATGAGCAGCTTTCCTTTGCAGGAAAGGTGTAAATGAGCAAAGCTGCCGTCCCTGGCTCTTATCCAACGCACAATATGCTCACAGTGTCCGTCTGGCTCTTTGTGTCTACCTTTTTTATCTTCCACATGAAAAACGACAACCTCCTAGTGGCGGCTCTGGACGCATCTATGCGCCTTTTGTATGTACACTAATAATGACTTTAGTGTAGTCTACATTTACTCTTCAAAAATAAATCAGGTCATCATTGTTTTGGGGGTTTAAACGTAAGCAGATAGATTAAATTGGATTTAAAAGGAAATGGTCCATTGTTCTAAGGTAATTCCTCCACAGGTTAACAGCAGACCACTTCATCCTGTCACTCAGAATCAGGACATTCTTTTGTAGATTTTCAAAATGAAAGCCCTTCAAATAGGATTCACGAGCCAATTTCTCTTATTTTCAAATTAGATTTCAAAGGAAATTCAACAGCTTTTGACAAATACGTTCTAGAGTCTCATCACAAAGAGGCAACATTGACTTAGAACTTTTAACAAGCTGTGGCCTGAGGTGCGTGTCTCCAGGTCTGGCTCCGTATGGTCCATTCTTATGAGGGCGATATCTCGGCAACGTCTCGAGTGGACTTCTTCAAATTGACAGAACCAGTGGCTCGTGTTCCCCTCTTGTTTATTTGGTCTAAAGAGCACTCGTAATAATCCCGGCTCCTGGCAACGAGCATTTTTTCAGTGGATTCAGACCGGATGAGCTGCCTCACAAAACTTGGGGTGGGGGGGCGCTTGGATTAATCCTGCATTTCCTTTTTAATAATCCTTGACATTTCGGGGGACACCTCCAGATGAAGCCGTTCAGGACATGGATGGGTAAGTACGTTCTCGGGGCAGCAGCCGGATGCTGATAGGACAACAGGGAAATATTCACAGCAGACGCTCCATTAACACATTTTTGCAATAAGAGATTGTGGTCAAAAGTAAATAAGAAATGCTTCTCCAACACAATTAGAGAGTCGGTGTCACGCCGTTTGCACACTATACATGCAAACTTGTCTCATCCGCTTGTCTGGTTTGGCACCTGTCCATTTTCTAATTAGTCTTACCCACTTAGGACCATATTGGATAACATAGAATTTCAATATTCCTCAGATTTTACTGTAACGGGAAGAGAAAGTGATGGCGTTTATTTATTGAAAGGATCTGATGTGCTGCGATTTAATTTGGAGTCACACACATTGACGTAATCTGTCAAACTGCAGCGATGAACCGAAGCGCTGAAAAGCTCCCACTGCAAATCAATGACACGCTTCATTTACTCCCCTCAGACGAATGTGTTGTATGTGGTATACGCTGTGGTAACCCAGGGGGAGTGAGGCCAGATTCGGGCGTAAAATAAGAAACTCAGACAGCAAATGCAAACAAAAAGGGTCCTTTTAATAACAAAGGTCAAAAACTACGGCTCTTCCAACCGGCTTCCAAACTGAAATATGTGGCGTCTCCTCCTACGTGGCGCCCGCTTCCTTGTCCTGTTAGGAGCAGAGTAGAGTAGAGCGGTGAGTCCTGGGGGTTACCTCCTCTCCGACGTCTGCCTCCGTCCGGTCTCTTCTCCTCTCCTTATCTAGGGTCTGCTCTGATTACCAGATAGGCCGCAGGTGTGACCAGTGCCACGTTCCCAGTGGCTGGAGCACCTGCACAGGATAATAAATCCCCCTTATCACCTCCCCCAACCGGAGCTTGGGGCTCCGCCCCAAGTGCTTTGTTCCTCCCCCTGGTTTGCCACACACCCCCTCCACCAGCTCCAGGTTGGGGCTAGGAGCGTCAACGAGATAGCATTCTTCCCTCCTGGACAAGGCGTCTGCGTTTCCATGTGCTTTTCCCGACCTGTGCTCAACAGAAAAATTAAAGTTTTGCAGTTCGAGGAACCACCGTGTAACTCGTGCATTAGTGTCTTTGGCTGTAGACATCCATCTCAGTGGTGCGTGATCCGTTACCAGGGTGAATTTTCTGCCCAGGAGGTAATACCGCAGCTTTGTCAGGGCCCATTTTATTGCCAAACATTCTTTCTCCAACGTTGAATAATTGATCTCATGCTTTAGCAACTTACGGCTGATATAGGTCACTGGGTGTTCTTCTCCTCCTCTGACCTGGGACAGCACGGCTCCAAGCCCTGATCCAGAGGCATCTGTATGGACGATGAACGTGTCCTCAAAATTAGGGGTGCTTAAAATTGGCTCGGTGCACAGGGCCCTCCGAAGGGTTGTAAAGGCTGCCTCAGCTTCGGTGCTCCAGAGGACCTGGTGTGGGTGGCTGTTTTTCGTCATCTCGTGTAAAGGGGCTGCAATAGTAGCAAAGTGGGGTATAAAGCACTGATAATAGCCGACCAGGCCGAGGAACGTTTTTACTTGCCGCTTCGTGGCTGGCTTAGGCCAGGTGGCAATGGCCTCCACTTTCCGGGATTGGGGTCTCACACTGCCTCTCCCAATGGTGTAGCCGAGGTATTCCGCCTCCTCCAGGCCAAGGTGGCACTTTTTTGGGTTGGCGGTCAGGCCAGCTCTCCGTAGGCTTCCCAGGACAGCTTTCAGGTGGCCTACATGGGTGGTCCAGTCGGGGCTGTGTATGACCACATCATCTAGGTAGGCCGCTGCATACTCCCGATGAGGTCGGAGCACCTGGTCCATCATTCTTTGGAACGTAGCTGGCGCTCCGTGGACTCCGAAGGGCAGGACTCTATAGTGGTACAGGCCTTCTGGGGTAGCAAACGCTGTCTTCTCTTTGGCGGTTTCTGTGAGGGGAACCTGCCAGTAACCTTTAGTGAGGTCGAGCGTGGACACAAACCGGGCTGGGCCTAATCGCTCTATTAACTCATCAACCCTCGGCATGGGGTAAGCGTCAAATTTTGAGATTTCGTTCAATTTTCTAAAATCATTGCAGAATCTCTCGCTGCCGTCGGGTTTTGGAGTCAACACAATCGGGCTGGACCATGCACTGTGTGACTCCTCAATAACGCCCATCTCCAACATCCTTCTCACCTCTTCTTTGATGGTCTCCCTTTTTGCCTCTGGTATGCGGTAGGGTCGGAGCCTCACCTTTTTCCCAGGTTCGGTGATGATGTCGTGGTTAATCACCGTGGTCCTTCCCGGCATGTCTGAAAAAACATCTTTGAACTGCCCAGTTAGTTCCACCATGTCTTGCCGGTGGGTCGGACTCAGATGGGGGCCCAGAGGTACCTGTGAGGGGACACGATCTTGGGTTTCGGTGGTTAGTGCGGCCATCGGAACACTGTCAGGGGCGTGCCATCTCTTCAACAGATTAATGTGATATATTTGGCAGATTTTCCTCCTTCCCGGTTGTCTTACCTTATAATTCACCTCCCCCACCCTTTCGATCACCTCATAGGGTCCA